ATTCTGTGGTCTTGGTCGAGTTGGAATTACATCAGCATTTGCAAATGGTTGCAAGTTTTTCTTCCAAATGTTCCTCATTAATGGAGCTGATTGTGTTGGTCTGAGCGTTTTCCTTCTGTAAAGTTTGCTGTCACGGGTCTGTACAATATATGACCTAGGTGCGTTATGTTAACTGTGGCATGTTTCCAGATGTTGCCATCCTGAATCATGACTGGATCTCCATCTTTGAGTTCTAGCAGCACATTTCCAGCTTGTCTGTCATAAAAGTACAAGTTTAGATTTCACTTGTCGCTTTTGTAGTTTCTCTTGTGTTTGGTGGACGTAATAATTTACTTGTACATGTAGTAGCTAGGAAGTAAAGTTTTTAAACGTCTGTTCAAGAATAGCTGAGCTGGTGACTGACTTTTATCTAATGGCGTATTGCGATAGTCCATCAAAGACTTGTATGGACCTTAAGACTTCTTTAGTACATGTAAGCGTTTTACTGTCTGGACCATTCCTTTTACTTACATGTAACCGTTAGACTGAACAAAATAAGGACTAGATGTAATATAAAGTAAATAATTAATAGTCCTGAGCAAATTGTTTGAATTCATTACATGGGTACTGTGGACCATTATCTGAAATCACCTCATCAGGAATCCCATATAGAGAAATGGTCTTCATTCTGCTCATTTACATATCGGCCGGCCATATCTAGATTCCACCACATGTCCTGAGTACGACTTCAAACGAAGTGCTGGTTTCTTAGAGTTCTTCACTAGGTTTCAACTGTTTATATTTTTTTCTGCTCAACACATTACAGTTTGCTCCTCTGTCCAATTGAAATTTAACCATCGACACACACAGTTGTAGTTTTGTTGACCAGTATCTGATTGTACTGTTAACATTCCAAGCATCATCTAGGTCATCAAACTCCTCCTGAAGAGTATGTTCAGATTTGTTGCTTCTACTCATAGGTTTGTGCTTTAACGTTTATGACTTTTTCGATCTACGCTTGTTACATTTACTACAATGTCTACCAATTGTTGGACAGGTTTCACCTCTTTCGTGTTTTGCTTTTACATCTTGTGCAAGATTTCTGGTGCTTAAAATGTTTTCTTGGTCCTTGTGTGAGTTTTGTTTTGGTTTGACTGGTAACTATTTCTGTTAGTTTGTACGATATCAATCTTTGGATCTTGTTCATGCATTGTTTTCAGTTGGGCCTGTGATAACTCAAAAGTATGTGCAAGGTCTATTACCTTCTTTAATGCGAGATTTGAGCCCTCATTTATCAGTTCTTCGCGGATTGTGTTCGACCTTACTTAGAATACTAGCCTATCTCTCACCATCTCGTCTGCAATTTGCTATCCACAGCCCTTAACACCAGCTTTAAGAGAGCTGTGATGAATTGTAAACGAGAGTCACTTTCACTATATACAATGCATTGAAATTTATACCTAGCGAATACGTTGATGGACTTCAGTTCTACATATGCCTTAAATTTCGTGTATAAAGTTTCAAGTAATTTTTCTCATCATTGGTTAGATTCTAAGCTCTATAATACTAGTATATATATTTCTCTGTCCTTTAATATCACCGACCGATAATATCAAAACACTGAATTTTTCTTCTTCACTCTTCTGTTTTGAGCGAACCATGAATTCAACATGCTTTTTAAATATTTGACATCTTTTCGGCAGGTTTCCCGTGTTCCAATTTAGAAGTGGTGTTGAACCAGCTATTGCACTACATACAGTCATATTTGTTTGGGGTTAGGGTGTGTGTGAGAGAGGGTGAGGGAGGGAGGGTGTGTGTGTGTGTGAGGGTGTGTGTGAACTTACTCTTTTTAAACTCTGGAGTTTTTTCCCAGGTATTTTTACATAGACAACCGCATGGAGGTTTCCATCTTTATTAGACTAACAATGTACATGTATATAACAGAACATATTTATAATTCCGGATTACTAATAAATTACAGGGGGTAGCAGTTTATTCTAGAATTCACTACAACACTATTTATTGTGAAGATTTCAAATATCAAAAATAGAGGTTATGATGCAATAAATATTTCTAAGTAATTTTTTTTACTTTTTTCTGATATTGATTAAATTATTTATTTTAAGCTTCTTATTGATAAAATTGCAGAAATCTCAGTGTTAAGTGGTGGATAAAGGATATCGAGATAACGAACAGTATTCAATATCAAAGTCCATAAAACAATTTAAAACAAAAACAGGAACAGAGCAAACACGGACCTCTAAAACATCAGAGATGGGATCAAGTGCCATGGAGGAGTGATAAAATATTTTACCAGCTTTGAGTCTAGAAACTGTCTGAGCAATGTTATCCCTAAATTGACCAAAAAGGAATCAGAAAATCTTGAAGGCCCTTCAACCAATTTTGAAGTTCTGAATTATCTGAAAATATGAAAAATGAGAAAAGCCCTGGACGAGATGGTTTCACCTGCGAATTTTTCATTTTTTTTGGCAGGACATAAGTGCCTTCATTACAAGAGCAATAAACAACTCATATGAATTATCACATTTTACTGAATAAAAGTTAGGCATAATAACTTGCACACCGAAACAGAAAACTAAAACAATTCTTATAAAATTCTTATAAAAATATATACAATTATAAACTTAAACTAATTGATTCACTTGTTTGTCCATTATGTAAACAAGAATTCGAAACAATTAAACATTTATTTTTTGAGTATTTATGTGTAAAAAAAAATATGGTGTTTTTTATTATTAATTTTGATAGACAGGATATACTGTTTGGGAACTCAACAATAAAAACATGTTTAGATTACACAATATAATAAAACTTCCTGTTAAACAATTTATTTTTGCCAGTAGGTTTAAAAATATGCCTAAATTAAGTACTGTAATTCTAGAAAAAAATAGTGTAGATAGAATATTAGTTGAACAAGAGGCCCATGAACCTTATAGATTACCTGAGCATCATGCAACAACTTTCCAACGATTGAATTTGATTCATGTTTTAAACTAGTCATAATGGCATTCACAATTTTGAAAGAGGCACCATTGCTAATCATAAGTATACAATTAGCATGTTTGGTTTGGTTACTTTCAAAATACTAGTACCTATAGACAGAGTTTGGGAACAAAAAATGCATTTCAACTTATCAGTAATATTTAGCCATAATCAGCAGTGCCATTACCACACATGAACCCCTGACCCTTGGTCCACACATTTCACAATTTTGGAAAAGGCACCCTTGCTTATCAAAAATGTTTGATGAATACCAAGGAGCAGATTTCATACCATTAATTCATTTTCAGTATATAAGTAGACCCCCCTCTATGGTACCCCTGACCCAGGGGCCTTGAAATTCACAATTCAGGAAGAATGGCCCTTGTTCATCATAACTGAATATTAGGTAGTTCATCTGCTAAATACCCAGTAGCAGAGTAGAAATTTTTAAAGATTAAATGTATTTTTACTATATAATCATTAGAGCCCCACCCTAAGACCAGAACCCCTGACACTGAGGCCATAAAATTCATAATTCTGGAAGAGGTATACTTCCTCATCATAACTATATACTTAGTTAGTTTATTTAATAACCAAGGGGTAGAAAAGAAGATTTTCAAAGAATTAATGCATTTTCACTATATAATCAATAGAGCCCCACCCTAACACCAGAACCCCTGACCCTGGGGCCATAGAATTCACAATTTTGCAAGAGGCATTCTTCCCAATCATAACTATGTACTTACTTAGTTTATTTAATACCCAGGAGCAGAGATTTTTAAAGAAATAATGCATTTTCACTATATAATCAATAGAGCCCCACCCTAGCACTAGAACCCCTGACCCTGGGGCCATGAATTTCACAGTTTTAGTAGAGAACTCAATGGTCATTATATTCATGCTAACAGTTTGACTGCTTGATGTCCAGGAGTAAAGAAGAAGATTTTTAAATATTGAATTAATTTTAGTGGTTTTGGCCCCATCCCTCAGGCCCCAGGGGGGCAGGGACCATGAAATTTACAATTTTTGTTCCCCTTCACCCTTAAACGCTTTATGCCAAATTTGGTTGAAATTAGTTGAGTGGTTGCAGAGAAGAAGCTAAAAATGTTCAAAAGTTTACGACCGATTGACAACGAACGACGACGGACGAAAACAGATAGCAATAGGTCCCCTGAGTGACTCAGGTGACCTAAAAAGCTATAATATTTGAAAGAAAATGTAAATTTTCAGAATATGAAAAATACTGGGAAATTATATGTGATATGCTATAATGTATTGTATTTATTTTTCCGAATTTATATTCAAATATACAATTATGTTAAAATACTGAATATTGTTCCCCCACTTCACTAATTTTTTTGTGTGTGTTCACCCTCCTCCACCCTCCCCTTTCTTTACTTCTTTGCATATAAAGCTATCACAGTGAAGATTTATATAATACATATATTTTTTGCAGCTTTTTGAAATGAACATGTATTCGTACTTACCAAAGAGGAATTGTATTAATTGTATAATATGAACTACTAGGGAGAAGAATTGAAAGTGTGTATTTAATGTAAACTACTAAAGTAATATATTGTACAGTCTATTAATGTAAAAGCAAAAATAAAATCTATGAAATAAAGAAACAAGTGACAAATTGAATGGAATATGTTTATAAGAAATGAAAATTAAATAAAAAAAAAAATAATTGGAATATAGATCCAATTGCAAGAGTTCCCCTGACTCAAAACACTAAGGAATGTTTAAGCATATTTTTTTTAAAAAGACAAAAACTTATAGAGAATGTAATTATAAACTTTAAAATCATTTTTAAAAACTATACACAAAACAAGATACAGTACTGTGATAGTGCCAGGCTATAAAATAATAAAGCGAACCTATACAATTTGTCCCTAGCAGAAAACAGCCACGACACAATGGAGGTTTATTTTTTTTGTGTAGTATTTCATCAGAGAGTGGTATAATGAGCCTCTTTAAGCAATAAATATACAATCAAACCATTTGAATGACCGATGTCTTTCTATCAAATTCTGATACATATTTCAAACGCTATTTTCTTCATCTGTCATGTAGAGTAATTAAAAAAATTGTCAATTAATTGGCCCTTTATACTGAAGCAACAAAAACGTCAACTTCACAAAGGGTCAAAATTTCGGTGATCAAGGCGATTTCAACGTAGCGTCCAGTAGTGGAGGGCGGGCAATCAATAGTGACCAGTTCACCAAGAGTTCCAGGACCAGCATAGAAACCACAGAGTGTTGAGATATTTGACACGGTCTCTCCGGTTCTGATGGAAACATTACGAAGGTGATCAGACGCATCTGTATATATTAAAAAAAAAAAAAAAAAAAAAAGCAGCAAAATATAAACGTTTTTGATTGTAGAGAAATCTTGAAACATGGTAAGAATTTCAACTTTATAAAGAATGTTAAGGATTGAGATTTGGTTTAGAACAAAAATTGAAAATATATATTAACGAAACGAATACAAGCGGTAAAGAAATAAAAATTAGAGATTTTTAACTAAAGCTCCAATCAGATACATAATATTTAAAACAATTCTTTTCGGACCCGATGTGTGCCCTTTCCAAATATTTACAAAACCTGTCATATTTTTTCTAATGAAATACTGTAGTACTTCGTTTTATTATAAATAGCAACCTTATTGGACAAAGGTTTTATACAAAAATGGGGAAAATTTGAAAAAAAAAATTAAACGTTATCTGGAGAATTGAATGTTCACAATGCGGACTTATTGCCTGACGCCACGAGCGTCAGACAGCATAATGGTCAATTTTTCCATGGCCCGGAACTAAGAGACTGTAAGCTAGGTTTTGTGCAAGCTGATTGACATAGGAATTTTATCTGCATCAGCTTGCAGAAGAAAGAATCATAATTATGAAGCAAAATATTGATTTTTTTACTTGCTTCAGATTTTTTTTCAACTCCGCCAGATTGGAGGTCGACTCGGTGACTTTTCCTATTTGTCTTACCAAGTTTAAGAAAATATAGCAGCAATATTTGGTGGAAAATATTTATTAAATATTTTTTTTTAAATAAAGGAGGCTTCCAAAAATTTATATACTTCAGAAAAATAATGATTCCTAAATTGGTTGAACAATGAAGGAATATGAGCATTTGGACGTCCAGTATGGCGGCCAACGGGAGGTAACTTTTGCTAAAAGGTCCATCGAAAACTCTCTATATGTACATATACTTGTAACAGTTTCTCTGCGTTTCTAAACTGTTTGTCTTCTACGAAAATTGTCTAATGCGAAATATAAACGTCATAGCCCCACCCACTCAATAGTTATGGGCTAGGTTAAAGTTGACAAACAGAAAGACAGCACAAAAACAATTTATCGATTTTATCGATCCGGGGTATACAAAATCATGTTTTGTATAGAGTCATTAAAATATAACGTATGGAAATGCTTTAAATATATTATAAAAGTAGGTTCTGAGGTATTTCAACAAACTTAAATCAACACTTCCTTAGAATGCTTTTGTGACACATTATGGTTTTGTTGCTTATAGGATAATTTTTTTTTATTGCTATAGCCTTTGTATTCCTTTGTCCACTTTATTGCTCCTCTGAGTATTCTTCTGAATTTCAAATGTACATTACTTTTTTTTATGCTTTAAAATTGATGATCAATCATCATGATGGCTTTTTGAAGAATTTTACCTATTTTTACCATGCATTCCTACGTAAAAACTTGGTCACCTATTGTGGCCCCACCCTTGCCAAAGGGGTAATGATTTGAATAAACTTGAATCAACAATACACAAATATACATGGACCATTGCTTCCAAACTTTTCAATTACAATAAAACTTTACATGGCCTGGATACCGAGTATCTGAAACATAATCCTCCATCGTGTTCATGTTCTTCTTCGCCATATAACTATAGTTCTGCTGGATACGTTGTTACAGGTGACGTAAATATAGTTAATACATGAAAGGAGGACCTTAAATCACTTATTTTAAAAGGTCCTAAATATAGGGAAATCAGATCCTTGAGAAGATTTTCCCTAAGTTTTCCTTTCTTTAACTTTAATCCCACATTGTGCCCCCCCCCCACCGCTTGTTAGGTTCATGATTTGAACAACCTTGAATCTACACTCTCAGAGGATACTTAAATATAACTATGACCAAACACGGCTTTGCAGTTCTTGAAAAAAAAATGTTTTTAAGATTTTTCCTATGTGTTTTTATGTTAAACTTTGATACCACATTGTGGCCCAAACCTACCCCTGTGGATCATGATTTGAAGAAATTTGGAATCTTCGAATCTTCGCTACCTGAGGATGATTCAACATGAGTTTCATCTTTCCTGGCCTAGTCGTTCTAGAGAAGATTTTCAAAGATCCTTCCTGTGTATTCCTATGTTGAACGTTGATACCCGATTGTGGCCCCACCCTACACCTGGGGGTCATGATTTGAACAAAATTGAATCTACACTACCTGAGGATGATTCCACAGGAGTTTCATCTTTTCTGGACTAGTGGTTCTTGAGAAGACGATTAAGAAGATACCATTAATTATTCACAAATTCATAATTATCTCCCCATGGAAGAGGGTGTGGCCCTTCATTTAAACAAACCTGAATCCCCTTCACCTAAGGATACTTTGTGGCAAGTTTGGTGGGAATTGGCCCAGTGGTTCTTGAGAAGATGATTAAAATGAAAATATAATAATTAATAACAAGAACGACAGACAACGGACAAATTTTGAACAGGAAAGCTCACTTGAGCCTTCGGCTCTGGTGAGCTAAAAATGAACGGAAACATTTCTTTCTTAATTATGTTTATATGTTTTATAGACCGATGCCTTTCCATTGGCTGCTGCAACGACCGCCAAATGATACAGGGAATCTGTAAAGTCCTTAATGTACGAATTTGTTCTTCATATACAATGGCTCGAGTTTCCTCTAAGAGTTTAGTAGTTTCAGACATTTCAGACATTTTTTCCGGGAAACACAACCGATACACAGAAGAACATTAGCACAAGAAACACACGTTATTTTTCCCCATTGAGAGCCTCAGTCTCAAATGAGATGAAGTTCAAGGTCACGTAATCATAGAAGTTTGTGTCTTTTCATAGTTCAGACGCGAGTGATGTTAGAGAATTCTTTTCAGATTTTATTAATCACTTTAATTAAATTTTCCACTGATTTTGTAGCCAGTGGTTTGTAGCAATATTGCTTGTACAGAACACATGTTCTTTGCGCTTTTCCCATGTGGGAATTGTAGCATTTAGCGTTGCATTCTTTCAACATGTGTTGATAAAGACGTGCAGCTTTTGATTCAGTGACGTCACTGATGCAGGGGCTGTAGCCCCGTGCGCCATTTAACTTTTACACGCCATGTGGTGTGGAGTTAGCGTTTGAGAATCTTTTAATTTCTGCATTCTTTCTTGGCGGCATGGCTAATGAGCCGGGACCATGATCGCAAATGCGAGAATCCACCAGCTATGATCTAGTAGATCAAGTTGACGAGGATGCCGTTCGTGACGATAACACGATGCATTCGAAGCAGCATACTGAAAATATGAGTGGTATGTTTGACACTTTCAAGCGTAAATTTGCAGATATGTCTAAGACCATGACTTCAGTTCAAAAGGAACTTATTGCTTTGAAGTCTGATCGGTCTTCAACGGATACAATTCCGGACGTTTCGAGGAAACGCGGACAGAATAGATCTAAGAGTACTTCGCCACCTCGCAAGAAAACGAAAACGTCTCAAGCATGTATTCGTCCTTCTCACGAACTTAGTGATAATGATTCTGATGTAGAAAATTCAGACAAATCGGATGCTGATGAAGCACTTAATTCCCTTATTGAGGGAGATGATAGTTTTCATGATTCGTCAGATGATGATGAGGTTTCTGCTCTTAATGAACTGTCCGAATTTTTCGGTGATGAAGACAAGACGAGCGAACCGTTAAGTTCTGAGCTGGCAAAGATCATGGAGAAAATGTTCATGACGAAAACTAACTCGGAGAAAATTAAAGAAATCTCCAACAAGTATGATAGGCCGAAGAACATTAACAACATTTCTGCGCCAAAAGTCAACAAAGTCATTTGGGAAAACATGTCATCCAAAAACAGAGCAAGCGATATCAAATTGCAGACTACCCAGAATCTCATAGGAAAAGCCATGATTCCGACATTGAGACTTTTTGACATGCTTATTAATTGCAACTCGAAAAAAGGATCAGTTGATGTGAAGAAGGCAAAACAGCTGTGCGGTGACATCCTGAAGTTTCAGAAGTGTGTTTTCCATTTGTCCTACAAGAGGCGGGAACAAATTATCCAGCCAGAGAAAAACAAACAGTTTGTAAGTTTGTGTTCTGCAAAGAGTTCTTCAGAAAATTTATTCAGAGACGACTTGGGCAGTCAAGTTAAGAATGTGCTTGAAGCAAAGAAACTGGCTCAAAAGATAGGAAATAAAGATTACAGTGGAAAATACAGAATTCCCAAAGTGTCCCATTACTCCCATAGCTATGGGAAGAAGCCAAGGTACGGGAACGGAAAAGGGAATTCTTTTTTGGCCAAACAGTTCAGCTTCAACAAGAAAAAGAAGAAAGGAGAGTCAAATCAGTAGATTCACATGATGTTAGTATGTCTAATGTTTGTACAATTGTAGATCAATTTGTATTGAAAAACACGCCTGAAAATTTTACTGCAGGCAAAATCAACAATTTTTTACATAATTGGTGTACATTAACTCATGATAGTTGGATTCTTGATGTTGTTAAAGGTTACAAGATAGAATTCAAATATGAACCTTTTCAATTTCACATACCAAATTCGCTAAAATTTTCTGAAAATGAGTATGAAGCAGCTCAAAGAGAAGTAGAAAAATTTTTAAAGAAGGGAATTGTAGAGAGCGTTCATGAAAATGAGAATTTGTGTGAAAACTCTTTTTATTCAAACATTTTTCTGCGTCCCAAAAAAGATGGGTCTTTTAGAATTATTCTGAATTTAAAGAATTTAAATGAGTTTGTTGACAATCATCATTTCAAGATGGAGACATTGAGGTCAGCATTATCTTTAATAAAACCAAATTGTTGGTTTAGCTCACTTGATATCAAAGATGCTTATTATTCCGTGAAAATTCATAAATGTAGTAGACAATTCTTAAGATTCAGGTGGGAAAATAAAACGTATCAGTTCACCTGTCTACCTATGGGATTAGCCAGTGCTCCACGTATTTTTACTAAAATCATGAAGCCTGTTTTTGCTGAACTTAGGAAATTTGGTCACTTGAATGTAATTTACATAGATGATGTTTTGTTATTGGGCAACACAAAAGA